CACGCCTAGGTCGTCTTTGCAAGGATGTCTCGAGCAAGACCTCCAGACTGGGACACGCTCGGTGCGCCGTGGCGCACGCCGGCAAATCCCCAGACATGGTCCGTGGGGGTGCCTGGCTTTCTCGCGTGCGGGAGGTCGACTTTTGGAGGATGTCTCGAGCGAGGGCCCCGGACTGGGACACGCCCAGTGCGCCCCGACGCGCCCGGCGTGCGTCCGAGAACCTGTTTGAGGGGAGGATGTCCCACGCGACGGCGCGGGTTTGGAATTCGTCGCCAGATGCCCCCGCGTCGCTCGGCAATCCTCCTCGTCCTCGTTCTTCCCTTCCTCCTTCTCCTCCTCCTCCTCTTCCTCCTCCTCCCCCTACTCCTACTCCTACTCCGACTCCTACTCCTACTCTTACTCCTCCTCTCCTTCCACCTCCTCCAACTCTCCTCTTCCTCCTCCTCCTCCTCCTCCTCCTGCTCCTCCTGCTCCTGTAGCGCCGCACAGATAAGCAAACAACAATTGCAAGAGTTTCATGCGTTGAGGGCGGGTCTTTTTCAAATGTGCCTCTCGCCTTTGTGTCGCGTACAGTCGTTTCACAAAATGCAAGAGTTTTGAGCATTGAAGGAGGATGGTTTCCAACTCTTGGCTCTCGATTTAGCGCCACGCGCATTCGTTGTCAAAACTTTGCAAGAGCTCTACGGTTTGAGGGTGGGTGGTTTTCAAAATGTGGTTCTCGCCTTTTCGTTGCACACATTCGTCTTAAACATTTGCAAGAGCTTCACGGATTGAGGGCCGTTCCTTTTCAATACGTAGCTTTCGCTTTAGCGCAGCGCACATTCGTCTTCAGAAAGGTACGAGTGTCACGAGTTCCTATACGGTTAACGTATCAGAAATGGTGTTTGCGAGCGATTCAGGATTGTCAGGGCGCAACAGTTACGTTGATTCGTTGTGCTGAAGTCCCAGAAGTGGCGCTCTTCAGCGATTCGGGACCGTCAATTCGCAACAGTCAAGCGGACTCGTGGCGTTGAATATCCGAGAATGGTGCACTGGCGCGTCTCAGGATCTTCCAACGGATGTTTCCAAACGGGAGCTTTCCCTGAGGAGTGGGCTTGGAGGGAGGACTTCTTTCAACATCGTTGATGAGTTTTGGGTTTACACTGGTCGTCCTCCTCCTCGTCCTCCTCCTCCTCCTCCTCGTCCTCCTCCTCCTCCTCCTCCTCCTCCTCCTCCTCCTCCCCGTCTCCCTACTTTTCCCCCTGCTGCTGCTGCTGCTGCTCCTCCGTCCTCCTTCGTTTTCCTCCTTGCTCATCCTCGTCATCGTCCTCGGGGGCCTCCCATCGGGGGGCCATTTGGCGACTTTGCGAGCGTGTCTCGACCGGGAGCGCCAGATTGGGACACGCCTGGGTCGACTTGTGTGAGGATGTCTCGAGCAAGAGCTCCGGACTGGTGCTCCGCGGCGCGCGCCAGCAAATCCCTGGAAGAAATTGTCCTTGGGGGCGCTGGGACCTGACTTTCTCGCGCGCCAAGGGCCGTCTTTTGGAGGATGTCTCGAGCGAAGGCCCCGACTGGGACACGCCCAGTGCGCCCCAGCGCGTTTGGCGCGCGTCTGAGCGCCTCCTTGAGGGGGAGGCTGTCCCACGCGACGGCGCTGGCTTAGAACTCGTCGCCATATTTCCCGCCGGATTTCCCGGAAACGGAGCAGTTCTCGTTGGGGAGGCTCTGTCCCACGCGAGGGCGCCAGTTTGGAATTCGTCGCCGGATTTTCCGGGTTTCCCGGAAGTGCAACAATGGTGCCTCCGACAACCTCGCTTGGGAGGCTCAGTGGGCCGGCTATTTTTAGATGTTCCACGCGAGGGCGCCAGTTTGGAATTCGCCGCCCGTTTCCCAGACTTCCCAAGCGCGCGGAACGGAACAGGCGGGGCAGTTGGCGGGCCCATCCCTTCCCGCGCTGGGGGTCAGGATGACATGAATTCTCAAGACACCCCCCCTCAAATCAAAAACCAGCCCCGGGGACTGGGTCGAGACCACCGGGAGTCCACGTCATGAAACAATCACGACGTCGGGGGGTTTGTGTCTGTTGCCTCCCCTTCCGTCGCCTTCCCCGAGAAGGGCCTCACCCGTCGCTCCTGGTTTGGTTCGATGATCATGAGGACGTGCATTCGCCCAATGTGCGTTTACTCCGCTCAGCTTTGCCGATGGCAAACAGCCTGTGTCGACCCTCGTTGCACCGCTTGCGTCGCAGTGGCTTCAGTTGGCAAACGCACGCTCCCAGACCCACGACGTCATGATCTTTCGACGGTGACCGCCACAGGTCTGGATCCCTTCCCAGGGACTGTTTTTTCATTCCTTGTCGTTGTTTGACCAGTCTAGAGGCTCGCAGGGGCCCGATAGGCCGAACATAGCGAAAAACCTCCCGCCGTGTTTTATTTGCGCGAGGGGTCTGGGCACGTTGGCGCCAACACACGTCCTGAAGACCATCGATCAGTCAGATCGCCGATTCTTCGACCGGTCGCGGTCGGCGCGGCCGACGGGGCCCACTGGCCAACGGTGTGTTACCCCGGCGCGGTCGGGTGGGCCAGCCGTGGCTCGATCGGGATCGGGATCGGGGCGTGGGCCAGGGCGTCGGGGGCAGCAGCAGAGGGCGGATTGGGCCCAGAGGGGCGAGCACCGACCCCCGATCGCCCATCCCTCGCCGATCGGGGCTCGGGGGGACAGACCTGGCACGCGGTGTTTCCCCACCGAGGGTTTATCGCCAATCTACCGGCGGTTTTTTATCGTCCATCGCAAGTCATCTGCCCCCCCCCCCCCACCCAGGGCGTCCCTGACGCCCGTGGTCGCTCGGCCACTCCCGGGGCCAGGGGATGGGCCCCTTGGGAACAATGGGGGGGAAACATCGCCCACGCGTGCCAACGCGTAGGTGTATCTTCCTCATCTCCTCAACGTCTGATACCATTTGGGCTCATGCGCTCGGCCGTTTCCCAACATCGGTTGGGCGCTGAAGTTGGCCCTTGGGCCGTGCGCCCTCGACGTTGCGCTGCGGCGTGTCAGTAAGCAAGACCCCCATTGCGCCTGCAATGTCGGAACCTGGGTCGCCCCCACGTGCTCGCAGAGAAGGGCGAGTAGGATCGACGCGAGTGGTGGCAGGGGAAACGCGCGGGCGAGTCATCCCCCCTGTCGCCCGCTGGGCAAGGCGATAACGAGTGACACGAGGCTCGCGTGGGGTACGCGGGCCAGCTGATCACCTAAGAGGAGAAGCTGCCTCCTGTGGTCAAAGGTTCTGCTTGCACCATGTGGTTTTACGGCGGCCACGTCATCGTGTGCCATTATTACAAGGAGGAGCATTGTGCGATCTCGAAGGTCGTCCAGGGTTACGACAATTGCGCAGCCCATGTCTTTGAGCCGATCGGCTCGATCCTCGCGCACGAGCACGTAGCCGAGGCCACGAGCGGCGAGTGCAGGCAGGCGCTCGTCAACGGGATCCCCGACCCTTCGAGTCTTTGCAAATACATGCGTTATTAGTGACGCGGCAGCAACAAGCACGCTTACCCAGACGACTGGCAAGTTGCAGCCATCTATCGCGCCATGCTCGCGGAGCTCGAGAAGCACGGGGACAAGACGGTTGTCCAGAGTCGATTTGGAGGAGGTCTACGAGGCCATATTGAAGCATGAGCGTCGGGGAGACGTGGCCGCTTTCACGATCGCTGTCGGCCGTGGCAAACACATCATTCACGGTACCCCGCATTGCAAGACGACCCCCCCGCAAGCCGAAGGTTCGGGTGCGTTTCGCGCTACTGGCGCAGCAAGATGCACCTGAAGGCACCGCGGCAGGCGGCCACTGGAGGCGCGTCAGCAAGACATGCTGCCTCGGGTGCGGGACGAGAAGCACCGACGCATGGGAGTGGCCATTGTCTTCCCGTCCCAGGCCATCGTCGACAAGGGGGGATGTTGGCGGCCAGCGACAAGGAGGTCGAGTCAATTGAGCGGTCCTAGGAGCACGAGGCGGCCAAGCAGGCAGAGATGGGCTACTTTGGCCATGGCGATCTCGAGCATGATGGCACCCTGGCCGTGCTCAGGACGGTCTCCATCGCCCACGCCCGCAACGGTGGCAGCCTCTCCTGGCATGTGCGACGGCCGCACTTCTTCCCATTTTTTCACGCGTGGCTGGACACGCCAACCTCCTCCACATGCGCATCTGGCGCACAGCTTCCACATGTTCCACGTGTGACTGCAGCCACGTATGTCTCCATGTTCCAGACCATTTTTTGTCACGGGTCCGCGCGTAGTTTTTGGATCGGTGCTTGGCCACCCCCGTGGCGCGAGGCGCACCCAGCGGCGGGGCGAGAGGCGCCGACACGGGGGGTGCCCAGCGCTGGTCCAAGAAATTTGCGCGGGCCTCCGAACTTGTGTGTCTGCAGTTTTGGGTCGGCTAGAAAGCTGAGCGCGGATCCCCCATGACAGCGACGCATCAATCAGTCGCGCCACAAAAGACACCTCACGTTTTTGCCCCAGTTGGTCTCTTCGGCTGCGTTTTGCGCCCGGGCTCCTCGCCCACCGTGGCCATCGGGGTGGCCTAAGGGCACCGCCCTGCAGAGCCCATCCCGATCCGAGTGATCCGATCCGGTATCGATGTTATGTGGTTCGACTTGGTTCGATTCCAATGTTCCGACGATCCGACGCGGCCCGAAGCTTGCATGGCGTTGTTGTGCATCCTGGCGAAGCCGGTCCGATTCGATTTCGATTTCGACTCCGTACCGATGCAGTCCGACCCGACGCCACGTTGATCCGATGCGATTTCCAATTTTGATGCCGACTGATCCCCCAGACCCCCGCCGTCGTGAGTTTCTCCTATCGTGGGCCCCCGGAGGTATGGCCCCCATCCCGGGGACCACCTGTTCATCCCGACTCGTTTTTTAACGGCCCCGAGGCCCCGTAATGGCTCCAGGAGGCCGAACAAATTCAGACAATTTCCCGTCGTGGTTTCGTCACGACGCGAGAGGGTCTGGGCCTGTACTGAGGTTCTCGGCGAGGGCGTACTTCTACCTCTCGCTCGCCTACGAGCAGGCTGGACGACTCTCCGAGATACGCCCCGAGCTGCAGGCCGCGTACCGCACGGCCTGTCTGCGGCACGACTCCATGGGCCAGGCCTGGGCTGGCTGGACGACGGACTGGCCGGGGCCGAGGGAGGATCGGATCGGTTCGGATGAAGGTTCATGGTCAAGGGAGCCTCAGCATTATGAGACGCAGGCAACAAGAGAGAGAAGGCTGGGAGACCCCATCACTTCGGCCTCTCCTGGCTCCTGGCTGCCAGGCAGGCAGCTCGAGAACGCTCCCCCTGCCGGCGCGTCGGGACCGCGAGGCGAAGGGCCCACGTGTGCTCACATCGGCGCTGTGTCGCCTGACGGAGCTCTGGCGTAGGGGATGGACCCTGACCTTCCAGAGTGCTGAAGAATAGCATTCCTGACCTGTAGACCTATCTGAACTGCCTCAAACCTCGACAAGAATTAAGACGTCGACGACCAGGTGCTATTTTCTAGCCCTCCTGGAAGGTCAGCGGGGCAAGGGGGGGGGGGGGGGCGAGGGGGGAGGTGCATGACACACATTCGCCGGGCGACTTGCCAGACACATGGGCGATTGGAGGACTTGGGCGCATGCCACCCTCCCCTGTGCTCTCCGCTCCTGGATCCCCCAGGAAGTCGAGGGGGAGATGGAGGAGGAGGAGGAGGAGGAGGAGGAGGAGGAGGAGGAGGAGGAGGAGGGGGAGGAGGAGGAGGAGGAGGAGGAGGAGGAGAGGAGGGGAGGAGGAGGAGGAGGAGGAGGAGGAGGAGGAGGAGGAGAGGGGAGGAGGGAGGAGGAGGAGGAGGAGGAGGAGGAGGAGGAGGAGGAGGAGGAGGAGGAGGAGGAGGAGGAGGAGGAGGAGGAGGAGGAGGAGGAGGGGAGGAGGAGGAGGAGGAGGAGGGAGGAGGAGGAGGAGGAGGAGGAGGAGGAGGAGGAGGAGGAGGAGGAGGAGGAGGAGGACGAGGAGGACGAGGAGGAAGAGGAGGACGAGGAGGAAGAGGAGAAAGAAGGGCGGGAGGACGACACAAGTCAGGAGGAGGAGGAAAAGGGACGAAACTGGTTGGGCGCAGCCCCTGGGCGCAGTGGCCTATGCTGTCAGCTCTGTCCGGTGTGTGCCCCACGCGCACGGGTCGCGGGTCTGCTCCCGTCGGGGGGGGGGGGGGGGGCACACCCTCGCCCGCCCCAGCCGCAGATCAACCGGAGGCGCGAGGGGGAGGTTAGAAATGATCGGCCACAGGTAAGAGTAACCCTTCGCCGGAGTGATCTTTGGTGCCGGCCCACTGGGGCCCCCCGATCGCTGAGTGCGATGCGATAGCAGCGGCTTGCGCGCTTGGGTTTGGCCCCCTCGCGCCCCCCGGAAGCCGCGCACCAGGGTCACTCTTGCCCAGGGTCGCTCTTTCGTGCAGCCAGAATTACAAGGAATTGGAGCCGAAGCCTGGCCGGGCAATCTACGGGGCCCTCTGGAGAAGCCTTCGCCTCTGCGCCGCCATGCCTCGGTCAAGGGAGGAGGGGGGCAGAGAAGGCGAGGGGGCCGAGGCGAGCACGGGGGGGACACAGAGACTCCAGGCTGGCAGCTTCTGCGAAAGGGTCCTGCGGGGTGGGGGGGAAAGGTCCTGGGCGTTCGTGGTCGGCCACGGGCCCCAAGCGTCGGGCACTTCAGAGGACGTGGGTCGCGTTTTCACCTGGAGCTCTGGACGTCCGAACCAATGAGGCTCATGATCGGGCCGCGAGCTCCGAGCACGCCGCACGGGGCCCTTCCAAGGTCCCTCTTGGGCGATATTGGAGTCATCTCGAGGCCTCCGAAGCCGCCTCAGGTTGTGGAAGGGCTTTGGCCTCACAGGGGGCTCTGTGGAGGCTCCGTGGCAACTTGGAGCCGACTTCGGGTGGTCTTGGAGCCTCTTCGAGGTATGTGGGAGGCTGTCTGAAGCCATCCAGGACTACCTTGTACAATCGTGGAGGCCATCCTGGGCTATCTGGGGCCATATTGGAGCCGTGTTGGACACCAGGGAGAAGAGGTATGGGGGAGAGGTGAACCTCTTGCCGAGGGGTGGGGAAAGAGTTTGGCAGAACTGCCTCGCTAAACCACCTACGCCTGAGCAGGTGGGATTCACATCAACCAGTAATTCCCCCATCCCCCACCCCAAGTGCGAAAAAGCGGTGGGGGACATGCGACGGGGTCGGGGAACGAGGACGGGGAGGCAAAGTAGGATCAGGATGAAGAGTAGAGGAGACAAGGGGAGGCGGCGAATGATGATTGGGAGCCGCAATGGACAAGGGAAAGGGGGATGCGAGGAGGGGGAGCAGACATGGAAGCGGAATGGGGAAGGAGGAGGAGGAGCAGGAGGAGGAAGAGGAGGAGAACGAGGAGAAGGATGGGGTTGAGGAGGAGGGGGGGAGGAAGAGGACATGAATACGTGGATGAAGAGGGTGGAGGAGGAAGCGGAGGAGGAGGGACGAGGAGGGAGGAGGACCAGGAGAAGGAGGAGGGCCGAGGTGCGAGAACATGACAGAGGTGGGAGGACGAGGAGGCGGAGGAGGAGGAGGAGGAGGAGGAGGAGGAGGAGGAGGAGGCGGGGCCGAGGAGGGTGATCCCCGACGCGCGTCGGGCCCCTTCCTCCCGCCAGCCTCTCAGTCGCTCGAAGGCCACTCTGTTGAACCTGCTGCTGCGCAGCTACCTACAGTACAGCCTGTACGAGCAGGCCCGGACCCCGTCATCCTCCTCGTCCGCCGTCGCTCGAGGTTCGTCGCCGGGCCGGGCAGAATGGGAGCCCCCAGGGACGGCGGCTTCCCGACCGCGTCCGCGGCACTTCGATCGGTGACGCTGGCTAGGCTCCAGCGGTCAGCGACGCAGCTGCTCGCGGGGTGGCGCGTCGGCCTTGGAGCCGCGGCTCCGGAGCAGGTTGGGGCGGTGGGCCAACTCATCCAGCAGCACAGCAGGCGCATGACATATCAAATCCCAGCAGGTGCCCCGCGGACGATTTTCTTGCCAACCCGATGGCCCCAGGGACCCATGGAAGCTCTGGGGCACCCTGGGGGCCGCAGGACTGTCAGAGATCGACGAATCGTGTGCCCCAAGCTTATCTCGTAGCAAGATGTCTCATCGTATGTGACTGCTGTACGCCCAGGTTCGCGCCGCGAGATGTCCGCGGCCGTCGCGGGCTAGCGGGCCTCACCTCGGGCCCGGGCAGCTGCGGGGCGCGCGCTGCGGAGCGGGTGGCCGCCCCGCCCAGCCACACGGCCGCTCGGGCCTGGCCGGGCTGGGTGCTCGCATGCTCGCCCACCGCCCTGGGCGGCACAGCCTTCACGCGCTTCGCGTCGTGGCCACACAGGGAGCTCCACCGAAGGCTTCAGTGGCAGGGCCCGCCTGGCGCCCGACGCTGCCGATTGCGGCGCAGCCCTCACACGCTTCGTGGCCCCATGGGGAGCTGCCCGCAGGGCGCCCCCCGCGCCCTCTTCGGCACACCCACCACGCACATGGCGTGCCCCCCATGCGCGCTGCCCAGCCGCCGTACCTCCCGCGGCGCGCCCAGTGCCTTTGAGGCGAGGGGCGTGTACTGCGCCACCCGCAGCTGCACTCGCTGGGCCATACCTCTGGCCCCAGGGCCCCTGGAGCTCACTCTGCCCGCGCTCTTCCCCGCTGCCCTCTACTGCGAAGGCCTTGCGGCCAGTGCCGCCGACCCTGAAGGGGGGCGACGACGACGACGACGACGACGACGACGACGACGACGACGACGACGACGACGGTAACGGCGGCGGCGGCGGCGACGGCGACGGCGGCGACGGCGACGGCGACGGCGATGGCGACGGCGACGGCGGCGGCGGCGGCGACGGCGATGGCGACGGCGACGGCGACGGAGACCCCGACGGCGACCCCGACGGCGACCCCGACGGCGCTGACGCGAAAAGCTTCTCCCAGGGAGGGGTACCCCAGGGCCCCTGGAGGGAGCACTGCGCGTCCTGCCCGCGCTTCTCCGCGCTGCCCTCTCTCCCCTCGGGATCGGCCGCGGCGGCGCACGCGGTGCCTCGGCGGCTCGACGGCGAGCGCCGCCCTGCAGAGGAGCTTGCAGCGGGAGCGGCGAGACTCTCGGGCGGGTGGCAGACGGGGGGTAACCTCACTGGGGGGTGGAAAAAGTGACTCTACAGGGGCCCTCTCCTTCACCCCCGATCGAGATCAACCCCCAAGTGCCACTGGCCCGATACCCGGTTCCTCTGGACGAGACACGAGAGGTTTTTCCAACAGCGGCGCTCTTTCCTCGCTTCGGCCTCCGGGGGCCGCCTTCGGGGCCGGGGGCCAGCAGGCACGGATCCGGGACGAGCATCTGTCCTCGGGGGAGGCGCCTGGAGCCCTGGGACCCGGGCTTCCACAGAGCGTGCCCCAGGCGCACCCCGACGGAGGAAGCTGGCAGCAGGAGCGCGGCGAGGGGCCGCCGAGTGAAGGGGATCAGCCGGCAACGTTTTGGGGCGTCTTCGTCGGTTCCTGGAGGTTCTCTTGCCCCAGAGGGCGTTCCAAAAGCTGAGCGTCGCCGGGAGCGTTCCCCGACTGGCCGCGGGAGACGCGAGCCATGACCCGAACGCCGAGTCACATTTCGGCCCGTGTTCCCGCAGAGCGTGCCCCAGCGCACCCATGTGCACCTCTACGGAGGATCTCACCGAGCGTGACGTCCCACGTGGGGGGGGCTCCACAGTGACCTGTGCTCTGATTATGCGTGTTATGGTAGCGGAGTTGGCCCTGCGCAGAGCGCCGGTTTCACTTACTAGGGCCTTCTAGATTCTAGAGCCTGAGGAGCCTCTCCTCCTAAGCCTCGGAAGCCTGAGAGAGCCTTCGCCTCCTCCTGCTCCTCTTTCTTTACCGCATCGTCTTGAGAAACAACTCGCGCGAGCAGGCCTTGAAGCTGGTGCAGAAGACGACCTTTCCGGAATCGCGGCCCAGCTCCCAATACGCGCGATATCTCTTGTACATCGGCCAGATCAAGGCCGTTCAGCTGGAATACTCCGACTCACACTCCAAATTGATGCAGGCAATTCGCAAGTCGCCGCAGTCTCCCACGGTTGCCCTCGGTTTCAAGCTGTGTGCCCATAAGCTTGCGATCATCGTGGAGCTGCTCATGGGTGGCGTGCCCGACCGCGCTACTTTCATGCAGAAGGACCGGGCGGCTCTGGGGGGGTAGAGTTCAGCCCAGCTGTAAGATCGCCAGGAGGTGCTAGACCAGAACCACCGCTGGACATGGGAAGGCTCCCATGGTGGTCAGCCCCAAGGAGATGGAGGAGGAGGAGGAGGAGGAAGAGGAGGAGGAGGAGGAGGAGGAGGAGGAAGAGGAGGAGGAGGAGGAGAAGAAGAAGGAGGAGGAGGAGGAGAAAGAGGAGGAGCAACATTCCAAGGTTACCCTGGCATCCTTCCTCTTCGGCCGATCCTTGGCCGCTCTCGCTGGCCGTGCCCGCAAAGTGTCGACGTGGCCTTCGAAGGCCCCTGCATCCTTCTCGTGCGTCCTTGTCATGCGGGTTGACTGCACCGCCTGAAGCTTCACTCCTGGACCCAGCGGTCAAGGTGGCCAAAAGCACCGTGGCTGGCAGGGAACGTCGCTTTTGCTGGGGGGGGGGGCTTCTGTATCTTGCTTCCCAGCCTCGGCGGCCGGGACCTGCAGGGCGAGAGAGGGGCGGCCGACCAGCCGCTCCAGAGCGCAGCCAGTTACGCCGATCAGAAGAATGCTGCCACGCTCGGCCTTGGCCCAGCGTTTCGTCGGCAGCCCCCAGAGACAAAGGGGCACCCTTCAGGGCGCGAAGTCATTCGCGCTTCGCGGCTCGGCTCCGCTTCCTCATCCTCCTCGTCTCCCACGGAGGGCGGCGCGGGAGTGCGAAGGTGTTCGCGCGTCGCGCCTCTGCGCAGCGCGAAGCGCGAAGGTAGGCGCCCTTGCTTCGCCGGCAGCTTCCAGAGTGATGGCCAGGCGTCTCCCTCCACTTGCGTACGCTCGCGTCTGAGCGAGCATGGCCGGCCCAGCATTTCTGCGCGAAGCTTTGCTCTCGGGCCGGCCCAGCTTTGCAGCGCGATCGATATCTCGATCGAAGCCCTGGCTGTAGGTCTTTGCACCTTCAGTACAGGGTGGCCTGTTACAGGACATCCTGTGTTGAAGCCGTGCCTGCGCCACTGGTCAGCGTTGAAAGCGATTGCTGTCCCCCCTGCTGCCCATATCCAAAGGCAGAGGCTGCAAAGCTCTCCTCGGGAGTGGCAGGAGTTCGCCGGGCCTTCTTCATCTCCCTCGCCCCTCCTCCCCAGTGCATCGTAGTCCTCGTCCCCCTCCGACGCGGCCACTCGGGCTATCCATAACACAGTGTGCGGTGGGTGCGCGGGGCAACTCGCCAGTCTATTCACCCACAGACGTTGGCTGCTCAGTGCACCGCAGTAGGTGTTGCTGGCACTGTCGAAGACGCCTGCGGCGAATCACCGCCGCCCCCTGCCTTTTTGGAAGCGCCTATGTGGCCGAACTTTTGGGCCAGACCTGCCAAGCTATCGGACCATGTGTTCCCCGAATCGGTTTGGAAAGCCTCCGGAGAACACGTGGGGATCTTGACGGTCATCTTGGCCGTCGGGAGGCCATTTTGACTCTTTCGGGCCTTCTTGGAGGACGTCTTGGAGGGCTCTTGGGCCGTCTTCGAGGCCATCTTGAGCGTCTTGGAGGCCTCTTTGGCCGTCTTGGGGGCCTCTGGGGGCCGTCTTGGGCCTCTTGGGCGATCTTTGGGGGCACTTGGGCCGTCTCGGGCCGTCGGAAGGCAGAAAAAAAACACATGCCACAATCCTGAGAAAACTCATGGGAAATCAATGATTCTGGCCTTTTTCGGGCCTTCCTGGAGGCCTTTTGGAGGCCTCTTGGGCCGTCTTGGGCCATCTTAGGGCCATCTTCGGTCGTTTTGGTGGGCTCCTAACCCGTCCGACGCCGTCGGAAGCCGTTTGGGGGGCTTCTCTGGGCCGACTTGGGGCCATCTTGGAATGCTCCAGGGCCGTCTTGGAGGCCATCTTGGGCGTATTAAAAGTCTCCTGGGCCGTCTTTGGGGCCTCTTGGGGCCGTCTTGGGGGTCTCCTGGGCCGTTCTGGGGCCATCTTAGAGGCCTCTTGGGCGATCTTTGGGTGATCTGTGGGGGCTCTTGGGCCGTCTCGGGCCGTCGGAAGGCAGAAAAGAAGCAAATGTCAAAATCCTTCAACCGCCTAAGGGAAACCAGTGTTTTGGGCCTTTTCTGGCCTTCCTGGAGGCCCTCTTGGAGGCATCTTGGGCCGTTTTGGGCCAGCTCTTGGTGGGCTCCTGGCCCGTCCGACGCCGTCGGAAGCCGTTTGGGAGGCCTCTCTGGGCCGACTTGGGGGCCTCTTGGGATGCTCCAGGGCCGTCTTAGATGCCATCTTGGGCGTCTTGGAGGCCTCTTAGGTCGTCTTTGTGTCCTCTTGGGGCCGTCTTGGGGGCCTCTTGGGCAGTCCTGAGGCCATCTTGGAGGCCTCTTGAGCGCTGTGGGGGCGATCTTGTGGGCCTCTTGGGCCGTCTTGGGTCGTCGGAAAGCCGAAAAGGAGCAAATACAAAAAACCGGTTTAAAAACCTAAGGAACATCAATGATTCTAGCCTCTTCGGGCCCTCCTGGAGGACATCTCGGAGGCCTCTTGGGCCGTCTTGGTGGCCTCTTGGGCACTTCTTGGGCCGTCTTGGGCCGTCTTGGAGGTTTTTTGGGCGGACTTGGAGGCATCTCCTCCTCTCCTGGGCCGTCTTGGAGGCAATCTGGGGCGAACTTGGAGGCCATCTTGGGCCAACGTGGCCACCTTCTTGGGCCATATTGAGCGAAACATTGGGGAATCGAGCACCTTGAAGATCGTCCCGGGACCCTGGCGGGACGCGCTGGAGCCCCAGGGGGGGTTCTGTTGGAAAAGAACCAAAACCAAAACCGACAGGATTCAGCACGCCAGGGAGTGGCGGATCCAGCTGCCTGCGGCAGCCCCGCCACCGTGCCAGTCCAGCATGTTGGGTTGCGACTATTCGAGGGGTCACGGGAGGCCGTCACGTGTGATATGTCGGGCCTTTTGAAGGTTATAGGGGGCCTCTCAAGGGGTTCTTGGGGGCCCGGGGCCTCGTGGCAACGCCTTAGAGGCGCCTTGGGAGCTCTTAGGGGGCCCCTTGGGCCCTCTGGGGGCGCTCTTGGGCCGTGTGGGCGCGTGCGGGGTCCATCCTGGGAGGCTCTCTGGGTCGTCTTAGGAGGCCCTCTTGGGGACCTCGCGGGCCGTCCGAGCGCATCCTTGGGTCGATTTGGGATCATCCGTGTCCTCCGCCTCCTCCTCCTCCTCCTCCTCCTCCTCCTCCTCCTCCTCCTCCTCCTCCTCCTCCGTCCGTAGCCGTTTTGGCTCAAGGTACCCATGTCGCCCTGCGGCCGCATGGATACCGCTGGTCCGCGGCTAGACCACTGTGTTTCTCTGCGCCTTCACGGAGGGAGTTGGGCGCCCTCACTCACTTCTTTTCCGCCGACGTGGGGATTTGACCATTTCTTCCCCTGTGAGCCATGGGCGGGTCGGAGAGGCGGCCGAAGCGGGAGACGGAACGTCGTCGTAGGCGCCGTGATCATGATGAGTCTGCTTCTTCTGTGTCTGCTGGCTCCTCTGGCTCTGACAAGCCCAGCCGTGAGCGCTCCGAAAGAGGCGACCGACGCCGTCGACCTCCACGCAGTGCCTCGGACGGTACCCGACAGCGCCAGGATCGTGAAGGCCATGAGGATGCTAGGCCACCCCGCATGCCGTTGGAATCTGCGAACCAGAGAATGGCGGACGCTGTCTTCGAGATGGAACGCGACGGTGTGCGGCTCTCGCAGGTACCTACATTCCCGCCTCCGCAACAGCGTACTGACCCGCATGACCCCTGGGCTATGGCTGCTGCTGCTGCGAGTGCCACTCCTCCTGCTTCGCCTCCTGCACAGGTGGAGGGTACCGCGACGCCGCGAGATGGCCTTCCTCCTACGATGCCCGCAGGACATGGCGTGGAGGGAGCCGAGGGCGGACCCGACTGGGCCACCTACGTATCGCAGGTGGTTGCCTCTCAGCTGCAGGCGCACACGGCGAGCATCACCGCGCAGGTCCAGAACGCGGTGGCCACCACGATGCAACACGCCCAGGGCACGATTATCACGCAGCTCCAGGCCCACTTCGCTCCGACGATGCAGCGTGTTGATGGACATGACTTGGCCATCGGCGACATCCAGCGGAAGCAGTTCTCCATGGAGGATGCCCAGAAAGAGATGCGTGCGGATATCAGTCGGATCAACCATCGCTTGGCCTTGTCGGAGGAAGAACACTCGGCGGTTGACATCGCTCGCCTCGCGGACTTCGACAGAGATCCCTATCCCACGATCTTCACGATCAACTCACCCGATGATGTTGCCCCTGCCGAAGCACGTGGGGCCATTGTATCTTGGATCAGCGATGCCAAGCTCGACACGGAGGACACGGTGCTGCACGCTCGAGGACCCAGTAGACGGTTCGTCTTGGAGGTCAAAGGAGGCGCTTCAGGAATCTCGAAGGCTATCACCTTGGCCAAGGCGCTCCGCTTCCCGTCGGGGGAGTGGAGGAGGTTCTCGGCGACGCAGCTTTCTGGGGCTACTGGTCCTCTGTATGTTGGCCTTGCTAAAGCCCCTAAGCTGATCAGACGTGAACAGCATTCTAAACGATTGGCCGCTATCGCTCAGGAGAAGATGCCCAACGAGCGTTGGTGGGCTACCAGAGCGAGAGGCCTGGTGCACATTGAGGGGCAGCCGTTGGTCGAGGTCGTGGTTAGAGGTGCCAACGAACCCTCAAGGCTGGCATGGAATCAGGCGGTGGTCGCCCAGCACCAGGTGGACGTGGCTGGCATCACGGCCGCCTTCAATCGCGCCTACGAGACGGTGGACACCAGCTCCTGGTCGTGGTCCCGACCAATGGGCCCAGCCGTGGCGGATCGCGGCTCTTGAGAAGGGCTCGCGCCAAGAGGTCAGGGTTTTCTCGTGGAATGCCAGAGGCCTTTGCGGCCTCAGCTCCAAGTGGCGCCGGAGAGCTTCATGTCGCTCGAAGCTCAAGCGGCTCGAACCCTTTCTTCGCATGAGGGCGGTCATTCTACTTCGAGAAGTCCACGGATCTGAATACGACTTGAGCTTTCTGTTGCGACAGTTTCCGTATGAGTACCGAACTTTTTTCTGTGCAGCTTCGTCACCTGGTAAAGGAGGCGCTGCGATTTTGATTCCATGGTACAAGGAGGCTGATCTCGCGAAGCCCCCTTCGGATGTTATTCCGTCCTTCCTGCCTCGGTGTGTGGTACCTGGACGCATCCTTTCTCTACAAGTTCGAGGCGCTGGTCAAGCGGTTCACATTTTGAATGTACATAACTTTGATTTGGACGCTCACGATCGCCAGGCGGCGCGATCCTCGTGGCGGCGTGCGGCTGTGTGGGCCCAACAAGATGAGCGTCATCGCTGCTTCATTGCCATGGGCGACTTTAACGTCGCGGATGTTGCTCCAGACTCCCTTCCGAGGCCCGCGGCTCGGCGTGATGTGGAAGTTCGTGGACCACAGCACCAACCATTCTGGCGTGCGCTGTTTGACTTTCGGATGGTGGAGGTGGTCTCTAACTTACCGACCCACTTCTGCAAGCACACCCAGACATGCTCGACCATCGATCGGTCTTTTGTCTCATTGACGCCGCCTTTCATTCTCGAAACTGAGGTCACGCTCTCGGTTCAACAGGAAGCAACACGTTTGTCTGACTGGTCTCTCAGCGATGATGCTTTGCTACTTCTCCAACTTCGGCCAAGAGGAAGGACACCGCCCATGGAGCGCTCGATTCCCGACTATGTCTTTCGCGTTCCTGAGTACAAGGTGGAGCTGAACAAATACTTTGCACACATCGACTGGACTGGCTGTTCCGTGGCTGAACGTCGGTCTGTCACCAAAGATGTCACGAGCAGAGCGGCGGCGCGAGTGCGCAACGTGCTCCGACAGCTGCCTCTGGACGCCTCACGAGACGGGGCGGAAGACTCGAGGAGGATCACACTCCGTAGTATTGCCCGGGCCATCTGGCAACAGGATGCCCATCTGGCCTCGTTACTTTGCCACAACACAGCGTATGGCCAGCGGTTCCTGTACGTGGACAATGGGGTAGTTTCTCTTTTGAATGCCGTTGAGTTCGCTTAGACGGTCATTCGGACGAACTCTGAGCGGCGCGAACGGCTCCAACGCCACGCGGCTGCACAAGCACATCGCGGTGACCTTCAACGTCGTGAGCCTGCTGAATTGTCTCGGGAGCAATGGCGCAAGATCCAGAGGACGTCAGCGAGGAGGGCTCGTCTATGGTGTGACTCGCGCCGCCAGCTTATCCTGAACGGCATCAGGCACAACGCGGCTGGCCACTCCACGATGCCTCCTGCAGTAGCTGACATTCACTGTGCTCCTCCTGGGGGCCTCCAGGGGCAGGAGACACGGCCCACTCCTCAGCAGACATCGGTGGAGCCTGCCCCGTCGCGGCCGGGTTCCTTGCCTTCTTTCGCTGTGACGTCTGCTCCTCGCTTCTGTGATGCGCCCCTTCAAGTCGCTGCATCGGACTCACTTGGTGGACGGACCGCTGCCACTGGCAGAGGCGACCTTAATGACGGCTGCGCCGCGCCTCGCGAGTCTACGGTTTCAGCGACCGCTGTTGGCACGCGCGGGGGGGAGTCTTCAAGCCGCTGCATCGGACTCGCTTGGTGGTCGGACCACGCCTGCGGGCAGTGGCGACGTTAATGACGGGCCCTCCCTTGGGACCGCGCCTCGCGAGCCTACGGTTTCAGCTGCCGCTGTTGGCTCTTCTGGCCGCTCTTCTATTACGACGTCTTCGCTTTCGGCCTCTTCTTCTTCGTGTTCGTTGGTGAGTGGTTTCTTGACGGAACCTGGTGCATGCGATGAGCCGCTTGCCCAACCTGGTGCTGAAATCTCTGCTGGGCAGCCTGGCTCTTCTCGTGGTACGACTGCCCGCGGCGCGGTGGACATGGCGTCTGCGCTTCAACGCCACTGGGGTGAAGTGTTCAGGGCGAAGGAGTCTCCACCTGGTGATGTTCTCCGTGGGCACCTTCATGCTCATCTTCCCGTTCATCCTGCTCCTGAACTCAGGCCGCCATCGATCGAAGACCTCAAGATTGCCTTGCGGAAGGGCAAGCCCAGTGCGCCTGGCCCAGACAGGTTGCCCTACCGTGCGTGGCTGGCCCATGATGACGCGGTGGGGGCTCTTTATCTTGTATTGCTGGATATGTTCAGTGGAGTTGGCTGCCCCTCGGGCTTCAATCATCACTTGCTGTGCTTCATTCCGAAAGATGAGCGGCCAGAAGATCTTATCGATCTTGTTCGGGCTCCTGATGAGCTACGTCCGCTTGCCCTGAAGAATACGGATTCCAAGGCCATCGCCAGCGCCATCAATGTCCAGTTGCGTCTGATAGCAGAACAGAGATGCCACCACGTCCAGCGTGGCTTTGTCCGTGGAAGACAGTTTACCACGCACATCGCGGAGCTCGACACTTGTGCTCGCATGGCTGGTGGACATATGAATGCGAATGAGCTCAGGCCTGTCTTCATGTCTTTTGATGTGTGCGCTGCCTTTCCATCGATGAGTTCGACCTGGATCCGAGTGTATTGGGCTGTCATAAGATTGCGACGGGCTTTCTCATGGCCATTCGGGCGCTGTACCATGATATGCAGAGCTGGACATGGCGCGGTGATTCTCAGCAATTTCTCTTTCACGTATCGGCGGGTGTGGCCCAAGGATGCCCGCCTTCTGGATCTTTATGGGCGCTGACGCTTGACCCTTTCTTGCATCATCTGTGCAATGGCAACGTGGAGGGCTATGGCAGTGCTGTGGCAGCAGATGGTTTCGATGTGGGCAATATTGATTACTCTATGGCGATTGGCCCTGATGAGATGGCGCCTTTGATTGCTGGAGCATGTGCGGATGACGTCGGAGTGGTTCTACCTGTACTGAAGGAGGTGACGCGTGTTGCGCCCGTGTTTGCCGCCGCACAGGAGCTGGCGCACTTGCGCTTACAGAATAAGAAATGTTTCGTGGTGCCGCTCTGGACTCGCGCCTCCCCTGAGGTGCAGGACCTCGTCGGGTCCCGCCTTCGGTCTTTTGCCCCGGCCTTTTCGTCCTTTCCCATCAGGGGTCGGGCCAAATACCTGGGGATGCAATTCGGACCTGAGGCCACTCTTGAAATGCAGTGGGAGGCACCGAGCACGAAACTCGGCTACCGAGTGCGCCTCGCTGCCTCAACGCGGGCGCCTGCGGAAGCCTCCTCTCGGCAGTGCAATTCCTGCTCTCTTCCTGTCCTGTCCTACCTCGTTCAGTTATTCCCCCTCCCGTCCTTCCTCCTCCGAAGAGAGCAATGGCTTTTACGTGAGCTCCTTCGGCTCCCCCCGAACACGTTTAAGCGTGATGAGATCCTTAGCCTTCACCAGTGGTTTCCTGGATCGGCGCTTGCGGCGATGGCGGTCCTCGGACGTTCGGCTGCGCGGCGGTTCGGGCTGCGTTCGTGGACGAAGGCAAGGGTTTTCACACGTCTCTTGGGGGAATGGCATGTGTGGCGTGGCACGTGTGTGCGACATGTTCGCGGGGAGTGGTCCCCGCCGTGTTGGGCCCAAAGTCGGTCGATTGCCAAATTTGTCCTGTCCGTCCTTGATGCCTCCCCCTCCGACGTTTTCTCTCGGACTGCCCTTCGAGAGGCGGAGCGGAGGGGGGTGGAGGAAAGGCGCGCCGCCTTAGAGGAAGGAGGGCGCCCTCGGATCCAGCGTATCCTTTCCCGCTCCCTCTCCTCGACCCTCTTTCCTGACCGTCTTCACCTCTTCTTCCTCCGTCGCCTCCATGCCTGGTTCCCGTCCCTGGAGCTTCCCGCCCCTCGAGAGATGGAAGCGAGGTGGGCTCTCCTGAGGCCGATTCTTTCACGTGCCCAACCTTCGTGGGCGTGGGCTCATTTGAAAAGTCTCGCTGGGGGTTGGGTCACGACCGCCAGAATGCCCGTCCTCGCACGTAGGAGATGTCGCCTTGGCTGCGAAGGGTGCGTGGATTCTCTTCCTCACTACCTCTGCTGTCCTCGGCTCCTCCACCTTCTTGCTCGCCATCGCCCTCGTGCTTTTCTCCCGTCCTGCCCCATGGCTCGGATTGGGCTTGGAGGCGAGGAGCACTATCACCGTCTCTTCTCGAGATCGGATGCTCACTGCTCGATTGTCCTTGCCTTCCACTTCTACCATAAACCCAAGGCGGAACAGGATGCCGCTCCTGGCTCTGCCTGTGACCTCGAATCTCATTTGAAGATTCTGCGAGGCGCCAGAATTGCAACGGGCGCCTGACGTGCGCTCCTCCTCCTCCTCCGCCTCCTCCTCCTCCTTTTCCTCCTCCCCTTCCTCCTCCTCCTCCTCCTCCTCCTCCTCCTCCTCCTCCGCCTCCTCCTCATCCTTTTCCTCCTCCCCCTCATCCGCCTTCTCCTCCTCCTTGGGCCGCTGTTGGGCCAACTTGGGCCATCTTGGGGGGCCTCGTCGTGCCCTCCTGCGCAGTCTTGGGGGTCATGTCGGAGGCTTCGTGGGCTGCGTTGCGCCGACGCAAAGGTCGAAACGGCGATACTGCGAACATGTTGCGTAAGCAAACATATGGACAAAAGCCACGAGTTTGGCCTCTTCGGGCTTTGCTGGATGCTCTCTTGGAGCCATCTTGGGCCGTCTTTGGGGCCGTCTTCGGCTGCCTCGGGGCCACCTGTCTTGGAGCCATAGTTGGCCATCTTGGCGGCCTGGATGGATTTCTGAGCCGAAGGCTTCGGGGCGTCCTGGGAAAGCGCCATGGCCGCCCAGGATCTTTCGGGAGGAGGGGCGGTGCACGGGCCACTCTGTGACAGGAGGGGTGGGTGGACCCCTTAGAAGGCTACAGTGGAGACCCATGCCAAGCCGCCTGTGGGGGGCTGCGATCTGCGCAATTGTCGCCACTTTCGTGGGCTCCTGGGAGGCCCAGCGAAGGTACGTCATACGCGGATCACCACGGGACCTCGCCGCCATTGGGGGGCTGCGATCTGCGCAATTGTCGCCACGTTCGTGGGCTCCCGGGAGGCCCAGCGGAGGCACTTCATACGCGGATCACCATGGGACTTCTTGCTGCGCCCTTCTGAAAGCATTGTTGGGTGCTCTTTCTGCGCACTGCGGGTCCTTCAGAATGCCAGTCAGCATTGAGTGGTCCTGAGTATAATTGCCACATGTATAGAGAGGGTCGGGTACGTCACAGGGTCATGTTCGAGATCTGTTGCGTATTTCTGATTTGTCGTCCAAAGTCCGCCTGTAGGGGGACGCGTCCGATCTAACACTTGCTCTTGCGTGTATCTGCACGTTTGTTTTCTCATGGCAGGTCGGACGCAGATGTTGTGGCAGAGTAGGGCCGAGCCGAACCGAAGCTTGCTCCGATGTCTCCTCTCGCCCATATTTCTCGTCGCTCCCACCCTCCCTCTCCTCTCCCTTTTTCTCCACATGTTTCATCCTCCCTCCTCCCTCTCATCTGTCCTTCCTCCTCCTCCTCCTCATCCTCCTCCTCCTCCACCTCCTGTTACTTCCCTCATGCTCCTCGTCCTCGTGCCTTCCTTGTCTTTCCTCTCTCTTTCCTTCCCCCTCCCTCGTTTTCCTCCTCCTCCTCCGCTCCTCCTCCGTCTCCTTCCCCGTCCTCCCTCTCCCCCTCTCCCACGAAGACGGGATCTGCCACATGCCCCACATGTCGAGGGGAGGGGCGGCGGGTCGTGCCTGCCACATCAGCGGGCGTTGCGCGCGAAGCCAGGCACTGAGCTCTTGACAAGAGCCCTACACCCGCCAGGCTCCCCTTCACCCGGGGCTCGGGAGGCACGGCATCCCTCCGGTGAGTTCCTCCCTCTCCTCCCATATCCGACTCCTCCTCCTCCTCCTCCTCCTCCTCCTCCTCCTCCTCCTCCTCCTCCTCCTCCTCCTTCCCTCCTCCTCCTCCTCCTCTTCCTCCCACATTCTTCCTCCCTCCTCTCCCCCATTTCTCCTCCTTGTCCTCACCCCCTTCCGCCTCCTCCCTCCCGAGTCGCTGCCCTTCCCCTGCCACCTTCCGGAGAGGACCAGGAGAAGGGAGGCAGGAGGAGGACGGGAGGGACTGAGCGGTAAGGATCGAGAGAGGGAGGACGACGATGAGGAGCAGGGGAGCACGAGAGGAGGAATGAGGAGGAGAGGGAGGGGGAGGGCTGAGAGGTGGTAGTCGGCGGCGAGCCCGGGGGGAAGTCAGAGAGGTGGCGGGCCTTTTCGGAAGGCTCCGAAGGCCTCTGGCCTTCTGAGAAGTCCTCCACGCCTTCCCCGAAGACGCAGGAAACTGTTCAGAAGGCGCGAGGGCTTCTGAGAAGCCCCACCGCCTTCTGAGAAGGCCTTCTCCTTCTCACTCCCCCCCCCCTGCTCCCGCCCCGGATCCTGACCCCCCGAGGTCGCCCGAGGTCCTAGAGGCCTAGGCCTCCGGAAGCCTCGGCCGTCCAGGGCCGAACGTGTCCGGCTCCCCTCCCCCTTCGAACTCTCGGGGGCCGGGGGTGAGATTTGGCACTGCGAGGAGGGAGATGGTGGTCGTTTTTTATTCATTGTTTTGCCGATCGGCGCGGGCCCTCGCACCCCTCACCCTCCCCCCCCTCTATAGAGTAGATCCTGGCTGTTTCTGGCGCCCGTTTTGAACCGGTGGAGTCTCCCCCATGGGACGCACGGTTCCAAACTGTCGCACTGAGCAGAGGTCCAGAGCCAGACCCCCCCCTCCCCCCTTCCCAATGTCGAAACGCCGAATAAACAAAAAAACGCCCACATGGGGAAAAGGGTCGGGCTCGCCTCTCCGTCGGCCGCCTCTCTCTCTCTCTCTCTCTCTCCGTCCCTGCTGCTGCCACCATGGTTTACCAGATCATTAGTTCTCACAGGGCGGAGCAACACGTGGCCCTGTCCGAGCGGTTCCAGCTGCCGCGGTGAACGTGTCCTGGTTGCGCAGGCCACGTGCGAGGAGGAGGAGGAGGCGGACCCTCCCCGTTTGTACCCCTATACCCCCGAGGAGCTGAAGGAGCACCTCCGGCCCTACTACGCCATCACGATGGCCGTGAAGTCGGGAGACCTCAACGCCTTCAAGGAGGTCGTGCAGCGGCACGAGGCGCCCGCGGGCCACCCCCCCCGGGCCCCGCCGAGGTCCCGCAGGGGGGTGAGCAGCCATCTTGGGCCATCGCGTGTCGTCTTTGATGGCTGTCTTGGGGTTGAATGGGGGGGAGGAGGAGGAGGAGGAGGAGGAGGAGGAGGAGGAGGAGGAGGAGGAGGAGGAGGAGGAGGAGGAGGAGGAGGAGGACCAGGAGCAGGAGGAGCAGGAGCAGGAGCAGGAGCAGGACCAGGACCAGGAGTAGGAGCAGGAGCAGGAGCAGGAGCAGGAGCAGGAGGAGGAAGAGGAGGAGCAAGAGGAGCAGGAGGACTAGGAGGAGCAGGAGCAGGCAGGGTGTGGAGGGGATCGACGGACGAGACGAGGTGGAAGGAGGCGGGAGGGGGGCAAGCGCAAGGAGGGAGAAGCGAGGAGGACGGTTGCGTGGCGAGGCCCTCTTCAAGAAAGACAAGACCTTGACTCTGATCAACCGGCTCCGTTACAACGTCATCAAGGCGGGACTTCGAAGCATCAGCATGTCGTACAGCCGAATCTCGTTGGAGGACGTTGGGCAAGGGGCGCGCCGCCTACAGTTCAGTCCAACTACGAACAATGGGGGGGTCTGAACAGAGGATCTGAATGGATTCGATCCCGCCGCCGTGCCTGGGTCGTGGACGGGGAAGTCTGGACTTCGAAGGGCCCAGACGTCGCCCGCTTTCGTTGCGCTTCTCTTGACAATGTGTTCTGATCCTGGAGCCGGGAGCAGTTCCTAGCAATCCGCGGAGTGTGGCCTCTTCTCTTGCATGAGTGGCCCACGCCTTCAGGAGCGCCGGAATCACGAACATGATCAGTCAGCATGTTCATCGCTCTCTTTCTCTCTTTCTGCCCCCCTTTCTATATATGCATCGCCTCTCTCTCTCTCACCATATTCCCTCTCCTCTCCCTTTTCCCTCGCCATCCCTTGCTCCTCCCCTCCCATCTCTTGACAAATGCAAGCCAATCGCCCAGATTGCCCACCGTTTTGAGCACGCGCTGGTGCAATAGTGCCATGAATTTGTAGACGGCGTTGAGATCGGATCGTCCCACATCCGCAAAACATGTGACTACAATGCATTCGAGGCTTCTGACGCGACGGCCTTCGATGAGATATTTGGGACATGCCGGGCTGAAGCAGCGACTCAATTGCCATGGCGGGAATACGAGTAGTCATGCGGCCTCGCACACAGGTGCGAACCTTGGCGTCTGGTCTGCGGTAAGATGCATGACGGGAGATGCGACTCGGCTAGCAAGAACACTTCCGAGGAGTGAGCAGTCATGATGATGATACGTTCCAGGATGCCCCAGATTTTCAGGGTTTCATATATCTTCTCGCGGGCTCCGGAAACAATGGCCGTGGCGAACTCCAGAATTCGTGGAACGCATCCTGCGCAAAACCCTTGATAGTATATTCCTTTCCTAGCGAAGCCTTCCTAGGCTATCGTCCGCTGCGCGTGGGGGGCCCACGGGCCCCACGAGCGCCAACAGCTGCAGGCGTAATCTGCGATTTCCGATCCTGAGCCTTCCGGCGCCGCGGCGCCACCGCTCCGTCCCTAGAGGACCGCCTTCCCCCTCCCCTTTCCTCGCGTCCCCTCCACCTCCGCCCCCCCATTTCCTCATCCTTCCTGTCCCCGAGGAAGGAAATCGCCACTAGCACACATTGCGCGCGGGTTTCTTGGATCGGCGCGCTCCGCGCGACTGGGAGGGGGGTCAGCGCCGATCCGAGACACTCGCCCGGATATACGAAGCTTTATGTCCATGCTGTGTTTGCTCATTAGTTATGGTTACACATGCATACACACATCTATGTAGATTCATGTATCTGTGCACCCACACATGTGCAAGCCCACAGACCCATTAAAATATATCGAAGACGCCGCCTACGGCGAATCACCGCCACCCCCTGCCTTGTAGGGTACGCCTATGTGGCCAAACGTTTGGACCAAGTTTGGCCACGCTATTGGACCATGCGTTTCCCGAGCCGTTGTGGAAGCCCTTCGGGGAACACGGGGGCGAGTACGAGGAGGATGAGGAGACGTAGGAAAAATGAGGATGAGGAGAAGTATGACGAGACCTCTTGGGAGCTTCTTGTGTCCTTCTTGGCCTCCTTGGAGCTTCCTGGGAGCCTCCTGGAGGCCTCTTGGGGGCCTCCTTGGGCCTCCTGGGGGCCTCTCTGGCCGTCTTACGGCATTCCTGGCCCGTCTGACGCCGTCGAAAGCAGGCTTGGGAGCCTCTCTGGGCCGTCTTAGGGCCTCTTGGGGTGCGCTTCAGGGTCGTCTCTTGCGCGTCGTGGAGGCCTCTTGGGCCGTCTTGAGGCCTTTCTGGGGCCGTCTTGGGAGCCTCTTGGGCCGTCCTAGGTCCATCTTGGAGGCCTGGTGGGCCGTCTTGAGCCGTTGGATTGCCGTTTTGAAGCAAATGCCAACATTTCAAAAACCGTTTGACAATCGATGACTTTGGCCTCTTCGGGCCTTCCCGTGGATCCTCTTGGAGGCCGCTTGGGCCGTCTTGCATGCATCTTGGGGCCTTCTTGGGCCGTCTTGGACCATCTTCAGACCATCCTAGGCCTTCTGGGGTGCATCTTGGGCCGTTTCGAAGACTTATTGGCGCCATGTTGACTTGTGCTCCCTTGGGGCCATCATGGCCGTCTCGGAGGCTTCTTGGGACCATCTTGGCGGCCATACTGGGCCATCTTGGCCGCCTTGCAGGCCATCCACGAGCCGAACAAACCCATGGACTGTACATTTTCTGAGTGGCCGGCGGGCTGGGCCGAAGCCCCTCAGGGAGTTCTTTGGCAAGAAGCCACGGACTTACTAGACGTTTGGCACCCCTGTGGCAAGACCACACGGGGCGGCGGACGACGGAGAGAGCGCGCGAAGCGTCGCGATCCGTGAGTCAGGAAAAGTACGGAGGGGGCGTTGGTTAAGGAATGTGCCGAGGAGGCTTCAGACCCTGAAGGATTCCTTATCTGACTAGGGCGGCCGTGATATCCATGGCCAATTCATGGTCAGAGTTCCACCTGCTTCCAGATTCTGGGTTCCTTATCCAACGGTTCCTTCTCCAAGGCCCCCACCGTAACACTGACCTTGCAGAGTGCTAAAAAATAACGCTCCAGACCTATAGACCCATCTGGACCGCCTCAAACCTCGACAGGAACGAGGACGTCGACGCCCCGGTGCTATTTTTGTCCCCCCTGGAAGGTCAGGGAACAAGGGGGAGTGTGGGGGGGCTTGCCTCGGCGGGCCCAGATGACGGAACGCGCGCGCAGCGCCGCGATCCGTGAGTCGGGGGGGGGGCGCCGCGGGCACCGGGGCAAACGCCGCCTCTCGGCGCTGGGCGCTCAGTGGGTCTGCCGCGTGCCGGCGTCGGCTTGCCTGGGGCGCGGGTCGCAGGGTTCACCGTGGATCTGCCGTGGTTTCGGTGTCGTGTGCTCGGTGCCGCGGTCTCCTCCCACCCCCCGCTTTGTGGCTGCACTTTCGCGGCGCCCGCTGGGGGCCACGGCGTCTCCGACGGCCCAGCGGATTTGGGTGGCCCTTCCGTGACGTGACAGTCGCTCCTTGGGCTGCCTGCGTTCAGAACAGACGGAGCGGCGACACGCTTCCTTCTGGGCATCGCACCCCTTCTTGTTCGTGGTTATCCATCTCGCCCGCCCCGGCGGAGGGCCTGACCGATCGGGGCGGCTGGCGGCCTCGCCGCGGGGACTGCCCCCCCCTGCCCCTGTCCTCGCGTCCGCGGCCAGGCCCTCCACGGCAGGGGGGTCCTCTGCAGGAGGACCTCGGCAGGAGGACCATCAGCAGGAGGACCCTAGCAGGGGACCCCCGCAGGGGGGCCCCACCAGGGGACCCCGACAGACCTCAGCAGGAAACCTCGGTTGACTCCCTCCTGCATCGCCGTCTGCCCCCAACCAGCGTCGCGCTCTGCCCCCCCCCCCCCCGCCCGCCCCAACTATCTCCGTCCCAGGCGATTGCTGCCCGTGGAGCGTCCTGGCAGCTGCCGAGAGGCGGCGCAGGATGTGCCCCCGTGGGGCCCAGTGGGCCGGGCGCCTCGAACACAAGTCGGGGCGGCCATTTTGCCGCCATCGGGCTTCGGGCGCCTCGGGTCGAGGCTGTAAAATGACGACTCGGGATGAAAAGCCGGCCCTGCAGGGCAAGGAGGAGGAGGAGGAGGAGGAGGAGGAGGAGGAGGAGGAGGAGGAGGAGGAGGAGGAGGAGGAGGAGGAGGAGAGGAGGAGGAGATCTATACACATATCCACCGCCATTGGCTGGGCCCACCTCGGGCCCAGGAGCGGGGTAGATGCCTCCCTGACCAAGCCACGGGGTCGTGCACACTGCTCCTGGGTCCAGGATGGGCCTGGCCAGCGGCGGTGGATATGCGTAGTTCTCGTTGCGCTACCCTGGGGGAGGGTCCGAGAGGTGCGGGGGCCCGCGCGCCGGCAAAAGTCGGAGCGCCAGACGCTCGGGGAGGTCTCCTGCTCTCGACCGTGGCCTCGACCCCGCGTCGCGGGCACGGGCACGGGCACGGGCCCGAGCGTGGCCGACGCGCCCGCGCCTTTGCGCGTCGCTGCCGCCACGCCCCCCCCCCCCTCCCGGCACAGGACATCTGCACGAAGCTGTCCGGCGGGGGGGGCAAGAGCGTGGGCCTGGAGACGCCTCAG